ATGTTGTGAAAGTATATGGAATTTTAGTGTAGCTGTTCAGACTTGCTGATGACTGGCTTGAGTGCCCACAGCCACGTGTGAGTACAGCATCTTCACAATGAAGTTCTCTATGCTTTCCTTTTACATAAAATATCTTATTTACAGCTTAAACTACATGTACAACTCTTCACTTCCCAGAAACAAGGACAAAAAAGTTAATTCTCACCTGCCCTGAGTTCCTATACTTAGAAGCAAGAGGCTCCTGCAACAGCACGGTCCACATTGGCACTGTCAAACACTATAAAAGGAGCATGTCCTCCAAGCTCCATGGAAACTCGCTTCACAGTGCCAGCTGCGTGTCTCAGCAATATCTGTAGGCAACAGAAGAGACACAGAAATCTGTACCTCTGCCAGATGTGAACTGTGGAGTCATGGATGTAATGCAGTGAGGAAATAATCTCCATTTCTCTGTAATGTTAGATTATTTCCTATAACAAAGAAAAAAGGACAAATTCCCTTCAGTGAAATCTTTAAAGATTAAATTCTGTCAAAAAACTAATGAAGAGAAGGATTTTGATCAACTTGAGGTCAGATCAAGCTTTTACACATTAATATTGTTACTTCTGTTTGCTTGTTCAATCCTTTCTCAATATAAAATCTTGACTACTCTTAGAAAAGTTTTCCAAGATCTGATAGAATTTGGGATCAAGATCTGCCTTGATACCAGACTTTTTCTTAATTTCGCATACAGCCATCCCATAGAATTCTATCATCTTCTAGCCGCACTCTGCAGTTTTAGTGATTTCATTAGAGATGGTAACAAGATTGCCTATTGACTACAGCTGATAGCAGAGATTCCTGAGCCTTACTTCTCTAACACTTTCTCTCAACTGCAGGAGCCATTCCTAAATAGTACCTTTGAAACTCAGATTCAGTGCTCTTATTAATATGTTGTCACCTTATGGATATAGAACAAGAACATCTTATGTAAAACTGTTCATATTATAATTTAATAAAGGGCAGTTATCAAGAAGTTGCAGACACGCATCATTCTGTGAAGTACTGATACTGAAAAAATAGGCAGTATCTCAAGAAGGACACAATTATTTGGACAATCTGTGTACAGCAGCCAAAAAATAAGGCTCTGTATAAAGGCACACACTTTCCCCCTACCTTTCCAGTATAACCACAGTAATAATCTTCACGGATATTCTGTCCACTTATGTACCTTTCCCGTTGCTGTAGAGCCAGTAAAAGATATTTTGGATACCAATGGATCAGTGCACAGAACTTCCCCTACAGCTGCCGTCTGTTGTCTGGAACAAGGAACAACGTTATACACTCCTGCTGGAATTCCAGCCTGGTTTGCAAGCTGCAACAAAAGAAAAACAGAATTTGCATTATCATTGCATTTTGTACGAGGAATAGTCACAGTGTTTGTTCATTATTTTGAAAAAAACAGTCTGTAAGTCAATGGAAGCCAAAAGGGCTCAGCACAACTAGTAATAGATGCCATGGTATCAAGAAAGCAGCCTGCTCTGGTTTAGCCTCTCTGTTCAAATGAAAAAGTAACCAAATGAAAGATACAAGAATGTTCTGTGTGGCTAAATGGCCCTAGCCTCTTTGAGGCTCTAGACCATATTAGAGGCAATGTCCAAAGATTCTCACTAAAATAAAACCCCTGGATCAAGTCAGCCAGTTTGTCCTTTCTCCAAGTATGAAGAGTGTTTTACCTTCAAAGCACATTCGACTCCCCATTTACAGCTTCAGTCAACTGCTATGATAAAGCTTAAAATTAAAGCTCACCTCTCCAAGAGCTAATGCTGATAAAGGTGTGTCCTCTGCAGGTTTCACTACCACTGTACAGCCAGCTGCCAGAGCTGCACCAACCTTCCGGGTAATCATAGCACTGGGAAAATTCCACTGGGATGAGAGAAAAAGTACAGTCAGAGTTGGGAAAATTCTGTCACCTGTTTTGCAGAAATAACTTGCATTTTCTGTAATTATGCAACAGCCTAATCAGTTCTGCATGATGTACTTTGTCCTAAGTGAGTATTAAGAAGAAGCACTGCCAATCAAGGAAGAAGCAAATACAAAGCAGAAATTAAAATTTTCAGGGGTGTTTTCCAGGGCTGGAGAAGCCATAAAGCCATGGCCCCATGCTGTGGGCTAAGCTGAAAACCTTCAGGTGATTCGAAAAAGTTCAGCAATGCTTACTGGGGTTATAATGGCTGCCACTCCTACTGGCTGCTTCAGCACCAGCACTCTTCTGTCTTTTGCAGATGCTGGAATAACATCACCGTAAATCCGGCGAGCCTCCTCCGCAAACCACTCCAGAAACGAGGCAGAATACACGATTTCACCCTGTGCTTCTTTCAGAGGCTTCCCCTTTGATTAAATCAGATTGAAGAAACATTGTAAGTGGCAAACTGAAGCAGGAGAAACAAATTCAAGTGATTTTGGAGTTTCAGTTCTTTTCAGAGTACTTTATGGTCCCCTCCCTATCAGGTACACTGCAATCTCCAAAAAGGATTGTATGATTGCAGCGGCAATAGTTGTGCAGCTTCAATATACCATCACTGATTGTATAGGCAACATTTTGTATGCTGTGCCTGGGTTCATATCTGCCCAAGACAATGAGCAAGAACAGAAAATGTATGTATTTACTTACAAACTCTGCAGTTAGCTCCTATTGCCTTTCTGAAGAAAGACCCAAAACATGGCAAAGCAGTTTCAAGTTCACGCCAGGGACATTTGTTTTGGGAGTATTACTCTGAACTGTCTCCAGGGCTGACCCCGTGGACTGAATGACCATTATCAGATGCGACACCACAGAGGAGCCGCTTGAAGTATCTTCCAACAAGGTTTTATCCAAAAGGACACCAGTTTGTGAGCTCTCAGACTACTCTGTGATACAAACTAAAGCAGACTATGTGAATCCAACTTGGCAACCTGCTTTAATAGCACTTCAGTTTTTTTCCCAGTCAGTGAAACTGCTGGCCTGCTGTGGAGGCAGGGCTAGCCATAGAGGCAGGAATGACAAGCTGGTTAAGGAGTTTGACATGATCCACACGCCCAACCAGTCAAATGCTTCTGCTCCTGACATAGATGATCCAGAGGCTTTCCCAGCTCTGTGCTAAACTGGATGCCCTCCTCTGGGAGGCCTGCATGCTTAAGGATCCTAAAACAACTAAGAAATTAAAAAAGACAAAAAAAAGAAAAAAAAAACCACAAACATTTTTGCCATGAGGACCACGGTTTAGGTGGATGTACGCTTTGGCACACCATGAAGCACAACGTGGGTTCTGCCTTCTGTGAGTTACATACTACCGCCATCAAACCAATGCACTGTATGTATGTCAGGAAGAGGAATGTTTGAAACCTCATCCACTGCCCTAGCAGAGCAATGGGAATGCACAATGTGCCCATTAGCTCAACTTTTTTAAGATCTCAAAAAAGCTGTGGTGGCTAAGTGGTGAGATGAACCCAGGGTGGGTTTATCGGCGGCCAGTTTTACTTTATATCGCTGCTCTCATCTCTGTGTTGGGTTTCTCAGTCCGAGTGCTGGCACAGGGCAGTGCCCACGCCCATAGGGGCAGAGGCGGCATCGCCCCCCTAACTCACGTTCTCGGCCGTGATGATCCGCGCCAGCTCCTCCTTGTTCTCCATCATCAGCTCGTACCATCTGCGGAGCCGCACGCTCCTCTCCTGGCAGGGAGAGACACAAGGCTGCCGCGGCCGCCGCACGCAGGGACGGGGCAGCGGAGCCCCGGGAGCCCCGGCCGGTGCCGCCCGGAGCTCCCCCGCCCGCGGGGGCCCCTCGCCGTCCCTTCCCGCGGCCGCTCACCTTGGCGGGCAGGCGGCCCCAGGCGGCGCCGGCTTCGTGCGCGGCCCGCACGGCCGCCCGCGCCTCGGCCGCGCCGCAGTCCGACACCTGGCCCAGCTCCTCGCCGCTGGCCGGGTCTTGCACGGCGAAAGCGGCCGCCGTCTCCACCCAGCGGCCGCCTACCAGGCCGCCCCGGCGCACCAGGGCAGCGGGCAGCGCCCGGCTGGCGCCCCGCGCCGGCCCCGGGCGGAGCGGCGGCGGGAGCCGCAGGAGCAGACGGCGGCGGGCGGCGGCGGCGCCCCGCGGCAGGAGGGTCGCCATGGCCGCGCTCGGCGACAGGCGGCGGAGCCCCGGCACGGCCCGCCCGCACCGCCCCGGAGGAGGAGCCGCGCAGGGGCCGGGCCAGAAGCGGCGTCTCGGCGGGGGAAATTCTGGCTGGGGAGCTTCGTCTGCCCTGGCAGGGATTGGAGCGTACGGGGCTGGGGGTGGGGGGGAGGTGGGGCGAGGCTGGCTTCTGCTGCCCGGAGTCCTGTTACTGCTGCACCATCGAGACGCCACTCTCCGGAGGGAGAGAGGAGGGTATAATCAGGATCATGGAATGTCCTGGGTTGGAAGGGACCCGCAGGTGTCATCGAAGTCCGACTCCTGGCTTTGAGGACACCCCACGAGTCACAGCACGTGCCTGAGGGTGTTGTACAAGCTCTTCTTGAGCTCTGCCAGGCTTGGTGCTGCGACCACTTCCCTGGGGAGCCTGTTCCACTGCCCAACCACCCCTGGGTGAAGAAACCTCTTTCTAGTATGCAAGCTAAGCCTCCTCGACCCAGCTTCACGCCGTTCCTTCAGCTCACTGGTCACTGGAGAGATCAGTGCCTGTCCCCGCACTTCCCCTTGTGAGGAAGTTGTAGGCTGGTGTGAGGTCTCCTCTCAGTCTCCTCTCCAGGCTGATTTGAGCTTGATGGCTTGGCTGTGGCAGCACCGGCCCCTGGGGGCCTGTGGGCACACTGGCCAGTGTCCCTCGTTTCAAGAGGGGAGAACACCCATAGAACATTTCTTTTTTTATAAATTACTTTATTTGAGGTTTAAAAAAAGCATTGGTATAAAATAGCCTTTCAAATATGGGAATTGTTTACTTGCTGTGTCAGCAGTATGTGTGAAAGAAAAGACATGCTCCGTAACCTACATTGCAAAGGTCACAGTGCTACTGCTCCAGGCTTCTGAAAACCACAGTCTGAGCCAGCATCATGGCTGGTCTGAAGATTTGGTCTGTTTTCCTGATTATACAGTACCATTTCTGTCAAAGATGTATCCCATGTGGAATTTCAACACATATTGAAATAGGTAAGACGTGTTCAGAATGAATTTTCTTGTGTTTTGAGTTGCTTGTAAAGATAAATAAATTCAAATTCAGCTGGAAAGCAAAGAGGAAATAATGTTAAAGCAGCGAGCAGTCTACATCACTAAAAAAAATGTGAATAACACATAGGATAGATGAGTAGTTTGATTTTGGATTTTGAAACTTTACTGTTTTTATAAGCAAAATGCTTGAATTGATGTGAGTATTTTTCCGTCTTTTAAAGCACTGGTATTATGTAACTGGAATGTTTTTGTCTGTGAGTCTTACGCAGGCAGAGTTTGGTTTGGAGAAAGAAGAGGAATACTTTAGGCAATTCATGGGATTGTTATATTTAAACTAAAGGACAACACAGTTCATTTGCAGTAAATTTGTTCAAATCACTGTGTATTAAAATAAAATGCATAAAATAATAAAATGCTGTACTGTGTTTGTATCTGTGACTAACATCATGAAAATTTTGTTCTCTATCTGTTTCTGGTAGGTTGCTCTCTGTAGCCTGAAGAGCCTAGATTTGTAGAGAATGAAGGAGGGAACTGAGTGAACATGAAAATGGAGAAATATTTCTGGGTTTATTTCCTTGTTTGCCTGTGTTATTTTTAAAATTTGGCTTCTGTTGTAGTTATTGCAAGAATACACACGAGTAGTCTGAGGTTATTCTGAAACATTTACTCATAATAATTGACAGTTTTAATTGTTTGTTCTTCTGGTTTAGTTTCTAAATCTGTTGCTCAAACAGAGATGGTAAAATGTAGGACGTTGCCTCTATTCAAGTGATCTTGTCAGACTTTAATACTGAATGCATGCAACTTGGAACAAGTTAAAGGCTGGGATTATTCATGGCATTTGAGACTGAAAGTATATTCCCTTACTGAGTGTTGTTCCCTCAGTCAGCATCCTGGAACCGTTCTCTTTTCCTGAGGGTGTGTCAAGAAACCCGTAGTAATCGGTAGGAGAAGTCATATGCCTGAGGTTAGGCAAGTGCATACATCTTTGCCAGCTGGGGGCTCTAATTACCAAGTATGAGCTTCTGAAGACTTGAAATAACAGATTTGCCAGAATGGAGTGTATTTGCAAAAAAATCTACAAAGAGAAAAGAGCTTACGGATCTGTCCCAGAGCAGTCATTTTTTTCTAAACAGGGGAACATATAACAGAAAACCTGTGTTTATATAATAAAAGATCTGGGTTGTCTGAAGAGTATTGAGTACACTGAACTATTGGGCTCTATTGTTTAACTTAAACTGTTTGTTTACAACAAATTTTGTCCATTTGTTTGAAAATGACATTAAAATGTGATCAGCTCTTATGCTGCTAAAATAAGTGCTTTTATTGTGCACATAAAAGTCTATGATGATAAGATGAAAGTATTTCCAAAACTCGAACACTGAGTATTCCTGAGGGAAAAAAAACTCAACAAAACAAAAACAAACAAACAACCCCCAAACAACAAACAGTAGAAAGAAACTCCTCTGACTCAAAACCAACACCAAAGTCTACCCTGGACAGTTTTTTGAAAGTACTTTTAAAATAGGGAAAAGCTCTGCCTGTTCAGAATGTTGATCATGTTCAGTGTGCTCAGCAGAGCTGTGCTGTGTCCTACTTGCTGCAGCCTTTTTGCTGGAGGCAGATCTGAGTGGGGAGGCTTTTTCCCCCAGGGACTCCTGTCAGACTTATGGGGTTATGTGGAACTGTGGGGATATGTCACAAAATTCTGTGTAAAGGTGGAGGTGTAGGACCTGGGCCCACTTGAGTAATGAGAGAAGTGAAAGGGGGATGGGAGGCAGAAAAAGCAAACTGCCAAACTGAGACTCTCCCACACTGGAAACAGAGATGTATGCTGAAATGTCTGAGCCATAACATTATAGATGATCTATTATTACTATGTTGCTGTTGTCCCTATTTTGGTTCAAGACTGGTCCTTAAGGTATATTAACATATTTAAATAAAAGGTTGTTTAGATCAGTGGATAAAATTCAAAGTGAAAGATCATTCAAACCCACACAGTTTGTTTATATCTCATTCTAGAATACTAGTGGTGGGATTTTTTTGTCGTGTTTTGGTTTGTTTTTTGTGATGTGATTTATTTGATAGGAACAAATTAAATTTAGTCTTACTTTATAAATGTCTTTAAAGACAATGTTCGGTATTTTAATAGATTATCCCTAACATTAGTTAAAAGGAGACTTTATTAAAGGAAAATGGTGTCAATTTTTTTCATTCATTACAGTTAATAAAGATTTTGACAGTAAGAATGCCTGCCTATTCAGTGAATAAATAGTGTTATTTACCTTGCTGACTTTGGATTTTTGTTGCTTTTCATACATGTTAAAAATTAATCAAACTGTTAAACATCCACCTTGATTCCCAAGGTACCGTTTTCAAAGTTAAGGGCAACAGAGAAACTTAAATGCAGCTACAGCTTTATAGTCCATTCTCTGTATGTGCTGAGTGTGACCCTGTCAGTTCACTGCTGTAGCTCAGTTCTGGACATGGAAATCACATTTCCCTGTGATTTTAGCTTTGTTGGTCAGCTTGGGACCTGGGGATTAGACAGAGACTGATGAGACCTCAGTGCCCAAGTATGCCACAGAAGCAGCACTTCCTCATTAGCTCCCTAGGTGAGAAAACACACCCTCTCAGAGGTACATAATTCTGTGAGAAATCATGTTTCATGCATGTACCATTTGGCTTAGGTATGGCAGCGTGATATTTTCTGGTTTTGGTAATGCTTCTAACAAAACACAGACCTGGACATAATACCTATAAATCAATACTTCAATATGTTGTTTTTCAGCACATAGAGCTCTGGAATTTTTCATTAAGAACGAAGGGAGTGTTAATTATAGACAGGTACGAAGCACATTATTGCTTAATTGTGTACACCTTTCTTCTCAATGTTTCTCTGACGATCTTCTTGCCTTTCATTATTATTCTCAGTAATACATTTGTCAATATTGTGCCAAGACTCTATTTTCACCTTTTTTTCTGTTGAAAATCATTTGACTCCTTCTGAATACTATTACAAATACGTAACAATTATACCAATGTGTATATATATATATATATACTTTGTGTAGTTTCTTACATTTTCCCATTTTCTTTAGTCATAATCTAAATGAGTAGTTGTATTAGAGGAATTATTGTATTAGGAGCTGTATTAGAAGTAGAGGACTTTTGGAATGGAGATTTAATAAACATAAGGACAGCAAAATGATAGCAAGGTTTTTTGCACTACAAGGTGTATTTTACCAAGATAATAGTTGTATCTTACTGGAAATTTAAATTTTATCTTTGATATAGGCAGTAAAATGTGTTTTTGTGCTGTACAATAGCGTTCTGATTCCTTTTTCCCACATCCTTTCCTCAGTTATTACTAAACCACCAAGACGCATTTCAAGCTGGGAGCATTTATCCTGATGCTTTTTATTCACCAGTCTGCAAAGGGGTAAGCGAAGCTTTGTAAGCCTGATGTATTAACAACTGTATTTTTATGTGGAAATCCTAGAGAATTTAGTAGGGCTAAAAATAGTTACAGTGTAAGAAATGAAGTATGGCCAAAAACACCTTCTTGCAAAAAATATCTGCCATTTTTGTTAGTATTTTAAGCCTTTTGTAGAACTTAGCAAGAAAACAACACATTTGAAAATGTTTTTAGAGTGTAACTTTGGGATAGATGTAATTTAATGGGTATTTAATGGGTAGGGCAATTTGATAGAAGGATGCTGTTTGTCTAAATTAGGTACAGATTACTGTCTTGGGGAAAAACTGAGAGGACAAAATGATCTTTTTTTCTAAGTCTTATGGAAAGCCTAGTGCTAATTTCTGTATTAGGAAGTATTAGTTTCTATCAGATCAGTCACAAAGAGGATAGGAACATATAAAAACACCACAATAACAAAATAGTGTAAGACTTGCTTTCCTCTGCCCTTTTTCTACTCCTACACTAACTGTATCTTGGCAAGTCTGCCTTTCTGTTGAAAATGATGGTGGTGATGATGCAATAGCTCTTCTCTGCCCTGTGGAAGCCAATACCTGTCCCAAAACATGATATTTTGAGTTGGCTGCCACATTCATCATCTTTTCTGCCATACAAGTAGATGTATCAATTTAGTCAACAGCTTCTCTGTCAACTGTCTTTATCTTCTCTGCTTGTGAGGCAGCTTTTCATTGTGCTGTACCTACTCACAGGCACAGAAAAAGCAAGCAGGCACAAAATTTTCAGATGCTTCAAACCAAAATCATGGAAGGTAAATGTAGTATTTTTTTTTGATAGTATAAATCATATAAAAAGAAGTATCTTCTCGTTAAATGGATTCCAGTTGTATCGTCTGTGTGATACGAAATTGAACAAAAGTCTGTGGCTTTTTTCATTTTTCCTCAAAGAACAAATGAAATACTGGTATAATTTTATTGCAATAGGAATATTCCATGATGTGTCTGAAGACACTCACTGGTCACCATTTCTCAAAGCAAGTATTCAGTATATCAGAAGGAATTATCCTCAGCCTTGGGAAGAGGTAAGAAAATTTTATTAACTGTTCAATTTGCTTTCAACTGCTTTCTTCACCTTCACTTGTTGCAATTTCATCCTTTTTGAAGTGTAGGAAAAAAACCCACGTTTTTATGTTGAAGTCTATCCTGACATAGGAACACTTGAATCTTTACCAGACAAAAAAGTTACACTTTCCATGTAAAGTCTGTCAGTTATCTCCACTGTGGTCTGGTGCTTATGATACATTCCATAGATCCAAACTTTCAAATGCAATTAGTGATCTTGCATTCCTGTCAGATCTGGTCGAGGGTTTGCAATTTGAAAACCAGACATCTTTTAGAATTCTCACTTGTGAATTCCTTCACTTAGTCCTGATGTGCTCTTGTTTATGGTCTATGAACTATGTAGCAGAGGAAAAGCAACTTGTCAAAAGTGAGAGTGCACAGGAATGACCTCTCCTCTGTGTGCCTGCACAACACCCATGGTGGCAGAAGGGGCTCACTCTTTGAACGTGGAAATGTTTATCTCCAGTCCAGAAAAACACTTTAGTACGCATTTAAAGTTAAGTACACAAATTACCCTGACATCAGGCACATAATTCTATGGCCTTGGACCTATGAAGTGCTTAAAACTAGTCACAAAAAGTGACTCCAACTTCAAGGAATGAGTGATCAACACTTTGTTACACTAAGTTCTTGGATTGTAAGAGTTCCTCACCTATATCCTTGTATAATGCACTTACATAAAATGCTCACCTCTTCTTAAAGACAGGAGTAAAATTACTGATACTGCTTCAAATGGCTTGTTGTTGCTTTGTAGGCTACAGAGAAACTGGTGGCTTTCCTGTTTGGAATTGCCTCACATATGGTGGCAGATGTTAGCTGGCATAGCCTGGGCATCGACCAAGGATTTCTAAAGGCCATGGGAGAAGTAAGCCTGTATTTTTTTATTTATTAATACAGCCAGATTTATTGGAATGGATAGCCTAGCTTTTGACTGGGGAGGGGCGGGGGTGGAGAAGAGAAAAGCTGGAGACCTGTTTCAGGAAGATTTTTGGAGAGACACAATGTCCTGAATTTCATAGGAATGAAGTTGGTCAGGTTTGGGACCTGTAAACAGTAGGGCTGTTTGGATAGTTTGTTTCTGCTTTATTGAAAGAAACAGGGAGTTGTCTTGTTTTTCTCTTTCTCCAGATTGATTTTCATGGTTCATACTCAGAAGCTCACAGTGCTGGCGATTTTGGTAATGTTTCTGTTTGCCAATCATAGATCCTTCTATTGGAATAACTAGTCCTCTTCAAAATCACAGTGGGTGATTCTGGCTCTCAGCCTGTGCAAGGCAGGAGCCAAGAATGGGTCATCTTGGCTGTCATTCCTGCCCTCCCCCATAGCTTGCAAAGTCCTGCTATACCTGTCCTCATGCTCCATGTTTCAGGAGATATAACAGGGCATATGAACACTTGGATTAAAGCCAAAATGCAGATGAAAGGAGACTAATGCTTAGATGGAGTCACTACTGTGATTTTAAATTGTAAATAATTCTTGTTCTCTGGAGGTATAAAATGTGCAGCATACTTTCAAGTGAACCATTTATGGATTCTAAATATATAGCTGGAAGATCTACCATATAAATACAGACAGCATAGCCATACATGGCTTCATCGGTGATGATACTTAACAGGTTCGGTTTGTTGGGCTATGTGGGTTTTTTATATTCTTCCATCCTCAGGAGGAGATGTAGTGAGTCAGTTTGAGCTGGACTTCAGTTATCTGGCATCAAATTGGTAAGATAATGACAAGATAATTACCTTCTTTAATATTTATTTCTGATTATTCTGTATAATCACTGTGTTTTAACAAAATGCTGTCCTTTATTTTTCTGTCAAAAGAAACCCTTGCAGCTATTTAAATTTTTCTGTGTTTGGTATGCATATGTACTGTTTCCCAACATGAAAAACTGGAAGGATACAAAAAAAGAGTTTTATATATAGGAAAAAAACCCAAGAAATATTAAATTATTTATCTCTGAAGGGATTTATAAGTTTTTATATCTAAAATAACTAATGAAAACATTTTGCTGGAATGTCCTAGAAATTAGTTAAATAACGTAGTTAAATGGAAATGTGAGATTTATTTAAAGTTTTAGAAGTTGAGGATGTTGAATCCAGATAGGTTTCAAAAGCATAAAAATGAGCAGAAGATTTAGATATATACATTTTTTTTCTCACAGTTTTTAACTGAAATAAAAAACCCATATACCTTTTTTTCTGCTGATAAAGTAGGTAATTTGAGTAGGGTTCTTTAAGTAGAATGTAGTTCACCTAGGTGTGGAAGACACAGTTCACTAATAAATCTCTGGCACAGCTGTGTGAAACATCTTTGTCTAGGAGTAGATTTGGCACAGCAGAGATTTGGAGGACATCCTCCAAGATGATGTGACCAAGCCAGGGAACCAGTGTGGGGAGTGTGGAAACACTGTTAGCAGTCACCACAGGGGAAAGGTTCTACAGGGTTCTGACTTTGAATCTAAACAATAGGAGAGTGTTGTGCACAGAGTAACTGCATGTGCAATCCTGGTCTTTCTGGTATTTGTAAAACTTCATACATTATGTAGCCTTTTGAAATTTAGAATATTTTATAGCAGGCTATTTTTATTACAGAAACTGTAATCTTTTATCAGTTATATCTGTACCACCTTCTTTTTTTTAGGTATGTACCTGTCAAAGACCTAGCAGCTATCTATAAGGACTTTTATGGAAAAGAGATCATAACTGAAAGCACAATTACTGACTGTGCTTTCCTGCTGTATCTTGAACTGTAAGTTGAATAGCTTTTTCTGGGTTTTCGTAAGTGAAACATACGTAGGAAAATCATGATAGCTGTGTTTGAAATGCCTTATGCATGTAGGTCAGAAATCCAGACCCCCCTACTAGATCCCAAAATCATAAAACACCTGAGTTTTTTTAATTACTAGATTTCAAATTTGGACTGCCTAATGACTGTTAACTTGATTATTATACCACAGATGCTGAAGCTTGGCTATGTAATGCAATTATACATTTAACATATTTATACCTATTTATTTGAGAACATCTGTGTCTTCAAGTACTATTGTATTGTGGCAAGTTATTAATATAATTTTCATGTACTGAAGGAGTTTTGCACATTGCTAAATAGATGGCTTATCTACATTTTATGTAAATCCTTTCAAGTCCAAGAATAATTCAAAAGAGATTTTGGGTATCTGGCAGTGTATGCTTTTGAATACCCTAAACAGCCTAGCTGTAGCCTTTACTTCAGTTAATTACCAATAGTTACACATCATTTTCAAAACTGTGAATCCCTCCAAATTAAAGGCAAAAATAAGGTTTATATCATTACTTTTTACATTACAACTTTAAAAAATATTTTAACAACCAACAACGAAATGTAATGACTTGCATAGGTTTTAATATACAGGAACCTTGAAAAGAACTGTTTAAATACTAAAATACTAAGTGAAGCAAGTTGTATTTCTGAAGACATTTTTTTTGGTTTTAGGCATGGAGAAAGGCTTGCTGTTGCCAAGGTTGGTCTTCTGTTTCCTTTATGAAAATGAACAGATAGCACGGAGACAATGTAGTCCATCTTACTGAATACGTGGCCTGTCTCTCAGCTTTTTCCAAGATATGCTAGTAAATCTCCATTTCTGGTGGAGAAGTTCCATGAATATTTCCTTGGAGGAGTGGATGACATGGCATTCTGGACAAACAATATTTTTGAGATGACCAGCCACATGATAGAGAACGGAACCAGGTATAGTGTGTGTCCTGGAATATGAAACGCAGTAGTAAAGTTCTAACAGTTTTAAAGGCAGGTTCTTTCCTAGAAGAGGTGCTAAGCTTTAGATCCTCTTGGGCAAAGGGATTTCCATGTATGTCTTTTACCTGGGTGTACAGGATTAATTACCTTGAGTTTGCATTTCTTATGTGTTCACACTCCTTTGCCCAGGCAAGCCTCTGGCATCCCCAGCTGATACTCAGCAGGGAAAATTTGGAGCACTTTTTAAGACATACTCAAGGGCCTGCTTAAAGGTTGCATAGCCATGCCCTAAGGTTCTGCCTGGCCTGGCTATCTGAGACTGCACCTTCTGGCTGCTGTTATCAGCCAGCAAAGATGTCCCTTCTGAGGGGAGGTCAGATATTGCCTTCAGACACTTAAGGCAAATAGGATTACAAAGAGTAGTGGTATATATTCTAGTGTTGAAGCGCAGGCCTCTACTCACAAATTCATATTTTTATAGGACTTCTAGCCTTGTACGGCTCTCTTACAAATGTAGCCTTATGGTAAATAACTTTATAAGAGCAAGAGTGGCAATTAATCCATCCATTTATATGGAATATATCACTGGAGATATTTTGGGAAATTATGTTTGAAATACATTCTGTTCTGTTCTTTGCTCCAGAATGTCACTTTCATTAAAAGTGCTTTAGATTCATAGAAATAACAGGGCATGTTACATTAAGTTTCCTTCAAGAAATGTGAGATTCGTATAGAACCTAATCAAGGTCATTAAAATAAATATCAGTGGGGTTTCTAAGGGTTATGATGATGCTCTGATTTTGAGTTTTTGAGAAAAGTGGTGACTTCTAGCAGAGGAATCAGTAAGGATAAAACTTGTATTTTTAGTTTCACTTCCATCGTAGGAAAATCTTTAAAGTGAATTCTGCATATTTTTCTTTAGTGGCTGCTACCTGCCTGAGAACCCTCTGTTTATAAATTGCACAGAGGAGCACAGGGACAACCACATGTAAGTACAGCTCTGGAGATTCAAAGGTTTAGTGATAAAAGGAGGGTCTTCTGCTAGTGAAAGGAGAGTTTTCTGCTTAGAGATGTTTTTATTTGTCTTTTTGCGTGTGAATTCAAGATTCCCGTAGCATTAATAAGTAAACTTTGTCTAGGGTTACTGTGCAGAACCTAAGAGAGCCTTTTACCTCAAGTCATTAATTCAGTTATATTAATTCTTATTACTGCCCTCTTTATTCTAGCAGAAACAAACAATCAAAACATGAACGTCACAAGAATACAACTTCTTTGCTTACAGAATCAATTGAGAAGAATATAAACTATACAGAGAGAGGAGTTCACTTCAACATGCAGTCTTGGGCAACAGTAAGTGAGAAGTGACAGATGTGTCAGGTAAAATTCAGCTCTGTATAAAATTGTTTTCATTTCTGTCTGAAATGCTGCACCAAGGAGCAGGGTCTCGGGAGGTTAACAATAGCCTCTGACTTCAAGGAGATTACAGTACCGTTGTTAATCTATATATGTACATCATAAATACTCAATTTTTACACTTTACTCATTGTATAGTGAAGTTAGAACACATCTTGCAGTTGCAAAAAGGACAAAATATATCTCTAGTATTTACATTTTACAGACTTAGTTGATCACTTTTTTGGGGGGTTAAGAACTCCCAGCAAAACAGCAGTGAACAATTAACGCTGCTCCCTTTAGAGCATACAGATTTCTCGTCTAAAATGGGGCTTATGACCTGAGTCAGAGTCCATGTGGTAATTTCCACTGTTGGTGACCTTGGTTTTTGAGGTGCCTCAAAACGTTCTAGAGTTTCAGCCTGTGTTTTAACCATCCTTGTGTCTCTTTATTTTTATTTCAGAATTCCCTCCGCTTGATAAACCGTGCTTTTACAACCAATATCTGGAGAGCATTAGCAGCTACACATCAGAAATCTTCTAAGCACATCTCCAAGCCAGCAGCTTCGTATTTTCTGACCTCACCCTATGCTAGACTTGGATGGTTGGTAATTTTTTAGCTCCCACCTCCCACTTAATTTCTGAAAATTTTGACTACACACCAAAATATTATTGTTTATTCTTAGGATACTCTTTAAATGTGAAAGTCCTAATCAATTAGTTTTACAAATCTGGTGGAATGGCTTATGTTGTCTGTTCAGAACAGCAAGTTAGCCCATAAGACTTTTCTTTCAGATATTGATCAAGCTCAGAATGGAAGGAGCCAAAATTAGAACTAACATTGGCTCTAGTTATGAACAGTATGAGAACTTTGTTACCCTTTTTTGTTACCCTTTTTTAGTTGTTGGTTGATGTTTGGGGAAAATTAATTGTCTGGCATGAGTTGATTACTGATGATGTGAGTGTTCTTGGAAATGCTCAAGACTAGTAGGGAGTTCAAAGATTAATTCAGGACAGAGAGAAGCATATTCTCTCTCCTTTCCAGAGAGGTTCTAGCTTGACCTGCAACAGAGGAGAGTACTAAAATAAATTTGCATTGCTGCTCATCTTTCTTCTTCTTATGACTCAAAATTTGGATTTAATGTTTGTGTTTACTTCACACCAGCTAAATTTGTAGTAGTTAGTTCTTTTCTCTCCACATTCCCTCACTAAGCTCCAACATGTAACTGAAACCTGTAATCCCTTTGCTTATCTCCTGTTAAATCCATCAATTTAATCAGAAGTTCAGTTTAAAAGATACTTAATTTCATTTTGTGTATTCTGTGTCATATGCAAGCAGCCCTTTTTCATGCTCCTTGCTATGATTGCTCTTAGGTGCCTTGTGTCAGTAAAAAGCAGTTCCTATAGATCTCAGATGCATTAATGGAAGATGAGTCTAGAAGGATCTAGTTTTATTTAATCCAAGAAAACACAAATCAAATATATTATATGAAAAACGCTGCATAGATTTTTACAAAACTGTATGGGGAAACACAGGTCTTGGTTTACCTGAATTGAAATTATTTATTTTCCACTAATGTTGTGGTAGTCTGGAAGGTAATGCTGATTTTGTTGACTCCTTTGCTGTACAGGGCAATGATCTCAGCTGACCTAAACCAGGATGGATATGAAGATTTGGTGGTTGGAGCACCAGGGTACAGCACCATGGGCCATGTTCAGATAGGACGGGTGTATGTGGTCTACTGTAACCAGTCAGGTTTGCCACGAGAGGACATGGATTTGGATGGGAAAGCTGACCAAGTGCTACAGGGTCATCAGGTGAGGGCTCAAGTCAGATATTTGTCACTTAATTTTTTGGGGCTGAAAATGTGATGAATTTTGGCTGAGAAACGGTATCATTAATGTGTATGAGTATTAATCCTGAGATTCTCCTCCTGATTAAAGGATGTCATATGCTTTTCAAGAAAAATAACCATTATCAAAGTCACAGGAACAATTGAAGCAATAGTGATCTGTAGGTTCACTTCCATTACTGTGCCAGATAAGTGGGTATTAAAACATAATTGGCCCTTGAATAAAAGTGAGGCAATATCTCTTATGTCCCAATATATCTCGTTCAGGTCCCTGCATTTAAAAAACATTGTGATTTTCCCTTCTTTTTTTAATATAATAATATTAATTCAATATGTTTCAATTCCTTTGAAGCTGCTTTTTTTATTAAGTGATTAATTCTCACAAAATAATTGTTTGTCTTTAGTAAGAGTACAATGTATTTAAAAAAAAAAAAAAAAGAGAAAACGGATTTGACATGGTGCTGGTTGGCTTGTAACTAAGCAGGATCAAATGACCTTTCTAAGTAATAAATATGATCCTCTTTAGAAAATATCTTTACTCACAAAGAAGAAAATAGAGAGAAATGAGATACACTTCCTTTTAATCTGTTTCTGTGGTTATAAACTGTGGACTAACAGCTGCTGTCTTCTTATATAATGTTTTAGTGGTTGTCATCAACAGGAAAGACCATAAGCTTAACATCTATGGTGCACTGAGCTCAGAAGAGGAAATAGCAAAGTAGCACCATGTTGTGTTCAGTTATCTTGTATTTTAACACCTCCACATCCACAAATAGAACAGTTGACTCTGAGTTAGTGTATTGGTGTGATGGTTATTACTTGGGAGAACAAAAATTCTTTGGATAGCTTTTTTTGTCATCTGTTTCCAGTTCTTCCTTGTGCAAATGTGCATTAGGTTTTTATAGTTTTGTCTTGAAAACATTTGTTATTTTCCTGAGATCACTCCCTTTTCTTTTAGCCTTCAGGAAGATTTGGTTCTGCCTTGGCAGTCCTGGACTTTAATGTGGATGGAGTGCCAGATCTGGCAATTGGAGCACCTTCTGTGGGATCCCAGTTTCTTACTTACAAAGTGAGTTTGTTGTTTGGGTTTTTTTGGACGGTGAAATGAGAGAGAGAATTTCTGTTGTTGCTCAAGGTGACATTGTAATTTAAACACAGAAGTTTATAATCTTTGTGAGTGCTTTGACTAGAGCAGTGAGAGCTATCTATATTTCCCTTTCAGTGTGGCCTTTAGTGCACATTAAAAACCCAAATCAGATTGTGACTTTGCAGCACTGATATGCTAGAAATGTAAGGGGACGTTCATGAAATACAAATGTACCCTTTTTGATTAGGAACTTGACAGTCTTGAATGGACCTCATGGGTCAGTGAGCTTTGTCTTATGCTGTCACAGGCCAACAGATGATATCACATTTTAATGTGATGTGAACAGAGACACACTTGCTAAAATAATCAATTTACAGAAGCTTAATGACTTGCAGTTTACCATATAAGCCCATGTAATGGTCCCTGAGTATTTTCAGCCCAAGCAAACTGAGAGGTATAATGTTTTGATTTAAACCACATCTATTAAGCTTAAAACTCTTCAGAATTTCAGCTACTAACTTACCTGTCTAAAAAAGAATTTAAATAATTTAAATTTTATGTAGACCTACTACCTTGAAAAATTGTGTGCATCTGTTGTGCCTGGCACTGTTTGCTATTGCATAAATAATACTTATCAAAATTTGAGCCATCTGAGTGGATGTGTAACAAATACAAATATGCAGTACACTGTCCTTGCTTCTAATCCACAATATGAAAATGTGCTTCTCTAGTTTGTTGCTTGGTTACAGCCTTACACATTACAACATGAATATTCTTAGGTTTGGGGTAGAAAAGACAGAATTATGAGAAGGCTGTGACAAGAAAAATGCAGTTGTATTAATAGTCCTCGCAGAACTGTTCCACTCCTTGTGATTTGCCTTGGATTCTGTACCTGGTACTGACATGCAGATGCTCTCATGCCGTGTTTGCTTTTCCTGCTGTTTAGGGTGCTGTGTATGTCTACTTCGGCACTGAGGGAAGAGGCTTGGCATCTCAGCCAAACGTTACCATAACTTGTCAGGTATATTGGTAATATATAATATCCTGTATGGATTATGCTGTTAGCCAGGCCTACACAAGCAGGAGGTGAGATAAAGGGGAAAGGGGCTTATGGGCTTGGAGAAAACAACATTAAAATCAAATTGCAGGGGAATTTAGACTGATGGGGATGGTGCAAGCATGTGCTTGCCTAGGTTAGTTGTATGTGGAAAGACATTTGTACCCCAGTGCAGGGAGGCAGCAGGGTGAACAAAAAGATGCATAGCCAAAAAAAAAAAAAAAGAAAAGAAAGGAAAACCCCTCAAAACCCCTCAACCAACCACACCAAAAACCCTCTAAAAAAACAAAACTGAAGTCAAGGAGTGGGAGGGTAATTTACTTAGCTCTTTAGAAGTAAGTTGCTCTATTTTGTTACAGAATTGGTGGTTTCAGTTCTATTTCAGGCTTAAACTGACTGCTTATTGCAGGATTCCTACTGTAATCTTGGTTGGTCCCTCCTGGCAGCTGATGTTGATGCGGATGGAAATGCTGATCTGGTTGTGGGCTCTCCATATGCACCTGGTGGTGGGCAGCAGAGAGGATTTGTGGTTGCATTTTACTCTTATTTCAACAGGAGTGGCCAAGGTAATATGTTGAGTAAATTAGCCCTTCCTATATTTTATGTGACTGTTCATTTGTTCCTAATTAATCATGAGATAATTCAGGTTCAAAGGGATCTCAGGGAGTGTCTAGTCCTGCCTCCTGCTCAGTAAGAGATATTTGTGAAGCCAGACCAAATTGCTCAGGCCTTTGTCCATTTGGGTCTTAAAAATCTCCAATGCCAGAGATTGCACAGACACTCTGGGCAGCTGTTCCACTTCTTGGCAGTCCTCATAGGGAAAAAATGTCTTGTTACAGCCAGTATGAACCTTTTTTGTTTCAGTTTATGCTCATTGTCTATTGTCCTCCCACCATGTACAGTGAACTCATAGGCACAGAAGGCATGGAATACCCCTACTAAATTTGCTCCAGTTAATCGACATCTTTCCTGTTACTGAAAATGTATTATAGGTGTGGTCTAAGAAAAAGTTAAGTGGGAACAATCACCACACTCAATCTCTTTGCCATGCTTTTTGTTGTATAGCCTGGGACACTGTTGGCTGTTTGCTCCAAGAGCCTCGCATGCCCACCACGATCTCCAGGGCCTTTTCCACACAGCTTCTCCCCAGCTTCTATCACTGCAAGGGCATCACCTTTCCTAGTGTCAGGCTTTGCATTTGTCCTCACTGGATTTTGTGGGGTTCCTGTCTGTCTGTTCCTCCAGCCTGTCTGGCTCCCTCTGAATGGTGGCTCCCCACAATCTCCTTTCATCTGCCAACTGCATGAAAGGGCACGTTGTTGCCTTCTCCAAATCAATTATTATGAAAGATGAGTCTAAAGATGGATCCCTGAATGCGCTCCACTTGTCACAGGCACTCACAGTACAACCCACTATCTGCTGCCCTGTGATGGTGATTGTCTCAACCAGTTTTTCCCCATCTGGTTCTCCACCCATCCAGATGCAATGACTCAGCTTGGATAAAAGAGATTTGTGGAATACTGTGTTGAAAGCCTTGCTAAAGGAATGGATTCAGCTGTGTGTTGTGGGTCCAGGGCAGGCTCACTGCTCTTCCTTAGAAAATTGGAAATGTACCTTAGAAGATGAATCTTTATCATTCTGTACACTCCTTCAATGGCTAAAAGGAACACTACAAGTGAACACAGTTAGTGAGTACAGGTGATGAGTGTTGTGAATGGCAGAGAAAATGTCACACATGGAGCTAAATAAAGTTAGTAAAGGTTGGGCAGCTTTGTCACAATCATGTCATTGAGATTTCCAATAATGCTTATTTTTTTGTAACTTAGTCTACTTCATGTAAAATTAGAACCTACAAGGAAAATGGGTTTCAAAACACTGCTGACTGACATTTTTGTAAAACCAAAGCACAGACATGAGTTATTTAAATTATAGGCAGAATTATTTGAAGCTCCCCCACCCACCACCTTTGAAGAATTACAAGTTCAGATCAATGGTGACTAGTTTAGGGCAGGCTTGTCTGGTAGCTTTCTTGTGCTTTGTGTAGGCTATTGGAAGGACTGAGAAACAGACTCTGTCAAATACAGGCTTTCACCAGCCTACACAGCTACAGGGTGAGCAAGTGAAGTCAGCAATTACTGGTGCCATATCATGGGCAGTGTAACTTTGCTTATAGAAACTTTTTGTCATAGGATGAATCGGTAGAGGATTGCTAATGGATTTTTCTATGCCAGGGTACACCAAGATTTAATTCATATTTTTCTGGTCTCTCAGAATTTCTGTCAGTACAGGATGCAAACTGGATGGTGCAGGGGGAAGAAAACTATGCTTGGTTTGGATTTTCACTTGACAGCTGCCAGCTGGAGAACATAACATTACTACTGATTGGTAGCCCTACATGGAAGAGTTGTGCTAGGTGTGTTGTATGTGAGAGCTTGATCTCTCCTCCATTCTGCCCTACTTCTACAAGGTTTAATATTTGTAATAGATTAGAGTTCCAGCTTTTCAGGAAGTTTCCTCTTTGTTCTGCCTAGATTATATTTATTAATTTCATCTTTCTATTAAATTAATATTTTATGCCTTCACACTTTCTTATGAAGACGGGGCTTTAGACTCTTTGTAAAACAGGTCTTTGTTATTTGGAGACACTGAAGAATTTCTTGGGTTTTCTTGGGGAGAGGGGTTGCAAAAATGCCGACAGGTAAGCATACCTTAAATAATTGTATAGATAGCTCTTACTTTTGAGAGAGCATTTTAAAAAAAAACAAAGACAACAATGTATCAGATGATAAAGGACTGGGTAGACAGGCCAAGTCCGTGCTCTAAATGTTGCGTAACTAGTTAGGACACGTATAGGAATTACTAAAATAGATTGCTAGAATTTGGCAGGCGCTATGATTCCGAAGTAAAAGGGGACAATATTTTAAGAGTAGCATTCCTAGCTGCATGTACAAAAATTTGTTGTTACAAACAGCTATCTTTTGCATTGTAATTCAAGCTGCAATCCCTTCTCATCGGATGCCAGGCAGAGTGTTGGGAAGGTGTACGGGTACAACCCACCGAGCACAGAGCGCTGCTTTGCGGTAACTGGAGACAAGGTAGGGTTCCTTCTTCACTATGGGACCTTATGAATAATTTGAAGTGACAATCTGTAGAAATTACATAGGTGTTTTAAAAATCTAACAGGAGATGAGCAGAATGGGTTTGTCTCTGGCCAGTGGTGTGATGTCTGTGGCTGGGAACACAAGGAGAGTTTTGGTGGTGGGTGCACCTACTGCAGGTATGTCCTGAAAACTGGAAGCCATTTCTACCTTAGGATGTTTTGTTTCTGTATGACCAGAGGACAAATACAACTTTTAATTTAGAAAAAGGACCTTTAAATTGCCGTGTAATTAAAAAAAAAACCAAAAACTCTACTCTGCCTCTGTTTCAATGTGTTTTCTTCTGTCCTTAAGATTGGTTTAACAGCATTATTACCTTATTTATGTAGCAGTGATTTGCTGGTAGACTGCATATTTATTGGAATTAAAATAACAGTGTTTTGTCCGCATTCTGGCAGCAGACAGTAAGGAATTGGGAAAGTCAAAATGCAGAAGTCTATCTTAACTTGAATGCACTTCTTCCCATGTCCTATGGCTAAGAGATTTTTCCTTGAGCTAGCTATTACTGTTAGCCCCATATAACGTTTGATGTTATTTGATAAATTATATTAATTTTGTCCATTTTATGCAATGCCAGTATTACCTGCTGTACTGTAACTGTACTGTAAATAATAAACCTGAGTTTCTATGTCGGATGCTCAACTTCTGTCACTTTTTCCTTCCAGACAGCCTGCAAAGGATTTCATTTATGTCCTCAGTGCTGCATCAAGCTGGACTGGCTCTGGTATATGACCTGACAGACAGCACCAGGCCTTCTTTGCTCAGCACATTCAGTGGGGACAGGAGGTTTTCTCGTTTCGGGGGAGACATATACTTAAGTGATCTGGATAACGATGGACTAGGTAATGCTTGATGAATCTAGATCAGAGCTGAAGTGTTTAACTTTTAGCAACAAGAGGACTGCTCACCTACATGTTCATACAAGTGCTAAACACAATCTGCTTCCCTAGTTGACTTGTACCAGTATTCCATCATGCCTTACGGAGAGACCTCTCTAAAATCCCAAGCAACTCAGTCAGAAATTGATACATTTTAATTACCATCCTTAATAGGAATTGTGACATCTGGAGGTATGTAAATGCCAGCTCTCTCTTGTGTTTTGGTTTAGCATTCATTCCCTTCTGACGTGTTATATCATCTTTGTAATACCTGCAGATGAAATGATTGTGACATCCCCACTGAGAGCTAATGGCATCTCCTCGATACTGTTTGGTGGGGCAGCCGGCCGTGTTTATATTTACAACGGAAAGCAGGCATCCTCAGGGAATGTGACAGGTCACTGCAAATCATGAATATCTCCCTGTCCTGAGGACTGGGTAAGAATACACAAAAGGTAAAATCTGGGCATGAGTACACCCAGGACAAACATGCAGTGCATTCTGACTTGGTTCCAGAAAACATAAGGTTTACTCATGTTTCTGAATCTCTGCAAATTGGCTCCTCCTGTTCATTCTTAACTGAGTTTGCTGTTTAGGATCCAGTATTATTGCGCTGGTTTGGTTCTCCCAACTGACTTTTTATTTTGTTCTTTTTTCTTCTTCAGGCACAGTATGTCCTTATTTCTCCTGAGGTAAGTAAACAGAAAACAAACTACTGAAACTAAGAAAGTCCTATTTTTAAAACACTATCAGCATTATAACAAGCAGTGTTATTTTACAGGAACTATCAAGATTTGGGAGTTCTGTTATCTCTGTGAAATCTGAAAGCAAGGTGAGAAAAATTAGTATTGTCAGTTGCTTCGTAACATCCTCCTACCTCACTTTCAAGTAGTAGCTGACACCGCACGTGCATCTTATTTGTAGAAGTCTTAAGTGCTTTACACAGTTAATTAAGTCATTCTCCGAACCGATAATTAAAAGCATTTTATAGGTGGATGAGCTATGCAGTTGCCAAAATTTTGGCACCTGAATTGAAAGAAATCACTTTAAAACGGCCTGAAACCTAAACTGCTTAGGAGTTTGCTGAAAGCTTGCATGGTAAATGGAGCGTAGGTGCCAACTGGCTTTACTGTTCATGCCAGCCTGCATGCATAGTGTATGCTCAGCTAGGAATGGCACCCTACCATCCCTCTCATTTAGACTTTACAGGCTTGCTGTCCCAGCTATCTCTTGCGGTATACACCATTTATATGTCAAGTGTTCCCAAGCATAGGGAGGTCCAGTTCTTACCTGAATGATTTTGAGTATGTATATGTACCTGTTTCTCCTTGTTTCTCTCAGATGCCCATTATTTTTACCAAAGGTCAATCCCAAGGTTTGTATGATGCACTGAGGAACCTTTTTTTAAACTTGAAGGTTACTTAGTGCTTGTTCAGCTGTTCTCCTTACTCTGACATCACCTCTGTGAGCACTGGGGTTCTCTGTGTGAGTACTGAGGAAGCCTCAGGAGTAGCCAGAGGTATACTACAGGTCTTCAACAACTGGTGTTTAAATAACTTCTTGCTGTTAAAACATGTAAATTCTTCTCACCTAATCCAACACCTGAAACAAAGGTGTTGCTCATTGCAAAGGAGACCATTCTCCAAGCTGTTGTGTTCTGTTGCTATGGCACCAATCCAGTCCCCACTCCAGCTTCATCTGTATTGATCTTAGCCCTGAGAAACAGTTTATATTTCCAACAGACTTATTTCATTGGTTTCAGCTTGCTCCAGTTCCCCAAATGAAATAAAGTCTGTTTGCCAAATTGTTTTGTTAACTGCTATTCTGTTGAGGTGGGTTGCTCTCTTATTTCTCCTCATCACATTTCTGTATGACACCTATGAGATGGACTAAATCTGGTTTCCATTAGAGAAGCTTAAGGCAGCCACACAACTGCAGTTGCGTTTTGCTAACCCTTGCTTTGTATCTCTGCAGAAAGAAGTTGTAGTGGCAGCAGAGAGAAGTTCTGCGAAAGCTCGACTTGGTGGAAGGCTTTTTGTCTACTCACTCTGAAAGGTCACGGTAGCCTTTAAGATCAGGGCACAGCTGGTCTTTTAGTGAAGAATCTCTGTAGTATCTGTGATACTTTCCTGAAGCCACACAAACTGGCAAACCCCTTGTCAGCAAGCTTTTAATGAATTCTGTTGTGGGCAGTGACATCACTTTAACCTAGACCAAGCCAGCTGGTCTGAAAACCTTTTGGAGGCTGAAATGAGCAGGCAGCTAGATTTTTGGTAGTAGTATTAGTTGTGTAAGAAACATTCAGTGGCCACCTTTACTGGTCAGATTTGAGTATTTTCTTGGCAAAACCAGTAAACAGCAGCATATAATTTACAATTCCTTGTATACTGTGATAAAGACAGGTATTCTGAGTTATGGAATGTTACCATCAAAATAACAAGAATGGAGGAGGGGCAGCTTTAACCCTAACAGAAAAGTGGATGCCAATGAACAGGACCATCTCTGTCCCTAGCAAGTCTTGTTCTCTGCATCAAGGGTGTAGAGCAGGTGGGAAGAAAAGAACAAGCAAGTTTTAAAAAATATTTTTGCTTTTGCAATTGTGGCTGACTACTCTGATACGCTTTGTGTTTTCATGTAAAATTCCATTACCATGGTAACTTAGAATTGTTAACTGCTTTTATTGTTAACAGTATTGTCTTCAACTATTAACAATAATTTTGTATGATGCAGGTTTAACAATAGCATGCATTATCTATTAAACAACTTGAGCAGCAAAATGTGATACCATTATTACCAACCCTAGTCTGTAGTCACATAGGTGTATTTTCTCTCTCTTGCCTCCTTCACAAATGCAAAGCATTATTTTTATTTTAAATAACACAAGTTGGTGGAATAGCACAGAATTCTAAAGGTCATATTCCACAATGAAACACCTCAGCCTACCTTCTTAGGAATTCTTTCTCAGGGATCTTGCTTTAAGCAGATAAAAAAAGGAAAGGTGAACATCAGCTTGAGGTATAATGCGTTCTGAAATCTCTTTTGTGGATTTGCCCAAACAACAAAACACTTTTAAAAAATTAAACTTTGAACTTCATGAAAGAAGTTAATGAATAGGACTGGGAGCACAGTACTTACCTTACAAATCTGTGAAATGTGGTTTGAGGCAAAACAAGCACTGCACTTAAAAGGGTAGCAGAATACAGTTTTCTTTTTTAAATGAAAACTGATGAAACGAGTATGTTCTCTTAGCAATTCCATTCTGAACATACACCTTCCACTGGCTTTTATTTTTCCTATGTATGATCTCAAAGTAATTTTACTGCATCTGAATGCATTTTGATTTCTTGAATTGTAAAAAAACCATTAAACATGTGCGTACGTATGTAGAGGGGAAAAAGCAGTCTTGTAAAAGACCTGTCTTCCTCTCTGCTTTTATTGTGCTTTAAGTCAGTTATGTACAGGAAAAGGAGTCAAAAGGAGTTCACAGAAGCCTCTCTGCACAAAAGCTTATGTGAAAGTTTCTCAAACAGCTGCACCTGCATATCTCAGTTCTGGCCTCATGCAACTACCACTTGGTTGAAAACATCAGCATCCATGTCTTTTCACGCACTGAGCTGTCAGCCAAGGTATATGAGCCCTTGGTTATTCTACTGGATTGTTCAGTTTAGAGGGTTTTTACAGCTTCACCTGCTAAGCCAAAAGACTGCAAAAAAATTCAGCTAAAAAACTCAAAACCATTATGAATCCCATTAACTTTCTCACCTTCTTGTGCCTTTTGTATCTGTAATTGGAAGTCACATACAGAGAAAGAACTGTTTGAAAAATAATTACATAAAACTGATTTTAATCAAACCAGCATCACAGGCCTGCACAACTTTATGTCCCTTATTTCCATTTTTGACTCATTAGTCCCAAGTAAAAATGTTCACAGCCACAGTTATTGTTTTACCAACTCCTGCCAGTACAACGATTTATCTGGTGGCACCAAAGGAGCTGCTCACTGTGTTACAGCAAGGTTAAAAAAACCTAAACAAGAAATGGGCAGTTTAGGCCTTCATTTAAAAGGATTTCATGCTCCCTCTACAGACTGAGAGAAACCAGTGGAGAACTACGCCCTCAGAGAGAAGTGCTAAATAAAAACACACACAGTTGGCATAAGGCTTCTATTCCTTCCTTCAGTCCATCACAGGATACCAGGCTTCCACACCCTTTACTAACCTGGCTACTTACGGTGGTGCAGGCTAGTCCATGGTTTGTCTTGGAGAGAAGAGAGAAAGCATAGCCCAGTTCAGAGAAACTAAGAACCCATCTGTTGATTTTTAGCAGAATTTGAATCAGTCCTCATAACAGGAGGAGTTGTGAAACTGCAGCTGTATCAATTCATGTTGAAATACTATCAGGTGGCAAATACAAGTGGGCATTATCCATAAGCCTGCTTTCCCTGTTCCTAAAACTGCATGTTTTGGGCCTAAATTAGTTGTTAAGGAATAACCAAGATAAGTAACTAGATTCCAAAGCCTGTTACTGCTCACGTAAAATAAGGGAAACTATTATTTCTGGTTGCTGCCAATTTAGTGGTCATGCTTCACAAAAGATGCAGGTATGCTTTTTGCTTTGGAAAAATCTGTTCTCTGCAATTAAATAGGGCCTTAAAAATCCATTTAAAAAGCCACTCTTGGGGTGGATTTTTCTTTGACATTTGAAGTCTGATTCCTCAATCTGCAGCTCAGAACCAGAATACTTGATGAATGCTGTCATCCTTTAAGCAAAAAATTCTGTTCTCTGTAAGAAGGGCCATTAGGCAAAGAAGTATTTGACAGAAACACATAAAATGAGAATGCCCAAAAAGTAAAGTATATGTATGTGATACAGAAAACTAATGGAGCACACATGGAGCGGAGAGGACACTACTGTGTAAAGCATGTTGCTGTTTTCCCTGGTGCTCCTCTCCTTTCACGTGTAAGAATTAAAAATCTCACAGTATTTTTTTTGGCACAAAATATATATTAAATTAGCAAGTTTAGAAATTCTTGCAGCTTTCAGTAAGGAAGAACAAATGCAAGGAAAGTGTCCGAAGTCCACCCTGTAAAAACAGAAGTTTCTTCTTTCCTTATGTTCCTATTGGTTTGGTAATGTTCTGCTCAGCCCAAATGTTTCTGCTTTAAGGCTGTTCTTTATCTCCACTCTTCCAGCTGATGGTTGGGATTTTTTCAAAACTGCAGGAACCTAAGCAAGAAGAAAATACCCTGTGATTACATGAGAAGCTGCTCTGTATGCAGCAGAAGGAAATAAAGCTTCACAGAGGCCCGAACTCTGATTTTTCTCCCCTTATTTTCAGAACAGTGTCTCTAGCTTCTCCCTCCCTAATCCCTTCCAGCACATTCTTCCAAGCCAAAGTCAGAATGTACTGGACTTGGTTTTGAACAACATTTACGGATAATCCAGTTAACTGCAGCCATAGTCAACAATCCACAACAAACTACTTCAATTTGCCTCTTAGTGGCAAAGGAGGGGAGACAAGAAGGGGACTTATATCTGAGTCTCCCTTCCTTTGTCCCTTGTAGCAACTTAACTTCTGAATCCATTAATACATCCACTATAAATATTAGAGTGCAGACCAGAGGTAGACAATACAGTTCCACGAGTCCCGGAAAGGGCAGTCAACAGGGAAACTGACTCATACGTGCTAATCTAAAGATGGATCTCTTCATACAGCTTGCTACCATCAGCATCAATGACAAAGATAGCTGGCATGCATGTGAGGAGCTATTACAAACCTCAGACTGAGAGAACATCACAACCACGGCACTGCTCTCCAGACAGATGTTACGGATAGCACTTGACCTCATCCTCCTTTAGTCTTTTACATGACAGGAACTACAGATCCATAGTTAGGATGTGGGTGGGAGGACGAGGGCAGCATTTGTTATGTGTCTTGCTGTGAACAGACTGCTGTGGTAGCTGAGAAGGCAAATGAGGGCTGCTTCTACCATGAGCCTCAGCTTCCCTTGGGCTGCCAGGTGAAAGTAAATACAGCATGTCTCAAGGAACAGCCTGCAGCTTCACTTCCGGCCACTGCTGGGGCTTCCCACCTCACTCAATCCAGCTAGGAGCATTCTCTGTCAAGGAGCAAGCCCTGAGTTGAATTCCTCCATGCTTTGTGGCCTACCCCTCTAGAACAGCTTATTTCCTGCTTTAGAAATGGACTGTACATGCAGAGTGTGAGACAGAAACTCTGGCCAGCCATACATACGTGAGGAGGTAGTGTAGGTTCTAGGTGCCGCCCAAGGAAGGAAAGTAAGCGTCGCCATATCAGACCACTTCCCAGAAACATAATCCCCGTCACCAGCCAAAATATCCTGGGGTCCTACCAACAGAACATTCCCATTAGTCATGCAACCATCGCTTCACAAAAGGGATGACCCAGTGATAATCTCTACTCCCCACCAGTGTTCTCCTCCTTTATGGGAGGAAGCGGTAAACTCCCTACCACCAACAGCCAAAGCCTACCTTTGGGAAAAGAGCTGTTTAGGAATCACTGTACTGTATTCTGTTACTGTCCCGTGCAGTTTTCCTTCCTTCATCAGAAAGTTTGAAAATTCAACATTGATTTGAAAAGGAAGAAGTCTTTACTTTTTCTGTTTTGTTTTAAAGCTGGGACATGCAGTTTTGAAATTGTACCCTGCAGTTTGTACCTCCTCCTCCCTAGTTTAGGTATAAACGTGTATTGACAGTAGAGTATTTCCTCTGGTCAGCTGAAAATGCCCTGGCTGTTTGCCAGATACCCTTGGATCTGGAAGACAAAGCTGGTCTTTTCAGAATAGCTGATCATTAAAAAAACTTTAATACTACTTTATAGTCAGCCCTTATACAACCAAAAATTTGCCTTCCCATTACTTTTCCATGGATGTAGAAAAAAGGCTACAATATTGTGCAGGTAGCCATGCAGTTATTTGCTTACAAAAAAAAGTGACTGCATGAACACATGAATCACTGGAGCCTTGTCTGTGGAAAGAATGAAGGTGTAACAAATTTAAAATGCACCATAAGAGCAGGGCCCGCATTTCATGCTCAAAGCAGCACTCGTACCTTACCTCTTCAAGAGATGACTCCAAGTTCATACCAAATGCAACTCCTATGAGGCCAAAGAGAGAGACGGAGAAAGTCCCCATAGTCAGCTGCAAGTTCAGCCTCATCATCACATTACGGTGGCTAAAGAAGGGAGAAACATCTGTAAGGGGAACCCATAAATTGATTTGCTGCCTAAATTCTCAAATTCCATACAGCATGCACTAAAATAAAATAGTGAAAGAGAAGTTATGCTGGAATTAGGCAATCCAGTGAAAAAGATCATGAAACAACAGTACAAAGGGGCTACTGTTTTGACATTGCTGCATCAGGATACCTCTAAGGCAGCAGGTTCTGCCTAATCATCATCAGACTCGTCAGCATCTCTCACTTCTCAGAGGTGTATATACACAGAGTAATAATAAATTTCTGCTGAAGTTTGTGTCCTCTCACCACTAAGTTTATATGCCCATATTCACAAGAAACAAAAATTTATTGTTAACTTGCAAATTAATACACTTTACAAAAAAGCAGTTGGTTATTGCTGCAGACTATAAACCTGAGCCTCTTTGGGAGAATTCCATATTCAAATCTCCACAAAAAAGATTTTTGTGGTTTCCTGATACAGCATCCACGAACTGCTTCCACAGATAACTCCTCGGTAAAGAGGAGTCCTTGCAAATGCAAGCTACAATTATTTTTCAGTAAGAAATCTGACTCCTAATGAAAAATGTAGCATACAGAAAGAAAATACTTGCTCACAAGTTATTAATTCTTGTATCACTCCACAGAGTAATAATGTAGCTTGCAATGAACACCTGAATAGCCTAGGCAGAATCTAGCTAGTAATCTTTTCTGAACAGAATTTTTATATGCCTCTAAATCTGCAGACATTTCCTGTATTGAAAAGCTTCCCAGAAGGTTCTAAGACAAGCTGTGTTTCTACTGCTAGGGAAAACTGATGTCTAGTTTGCTTTATCCAGTTCACTGGTAAGAGAAGTGCAGCACAGCTGTGACTACAAGTCCATTCAAACCCTCATGAAGACAAAATTCTCCAACTTCCCTTGTAAGCAGATTTGAGAAAGTCTAGGTATTAAATTCATTAAATTCTGCTCAGCTTTTGGCAATCCAACAGGTCAGGTGGCTAACCTGTCCAGGTTGATGAAGATGATGCTTTCTGAGTCGTCAATCAGTACTCTGAGTTCACGAGCTTCATTTGCAAGATCTTCTGCTTGTCTGTAATAATTCTCCAACAGCAGCTCCATTTCCTCTGCATGGTCAATCCCAGATGTACTCTCCTGACTGCGAGCAACAAATTATATTTTTCTGGTTAGCTACATGTTGTATATACAACTGTAGTACTCATGTGTTAAGGCACGTAAGAGTTGTGGGGAACAAGAGCGCTGTTAGACACTAGACCTCAAAATCCAATCTTTTTGTGAGAAAATTCCATCAATTCCAACAGCTTAACATAAAAGGCATATTTTTATATTTATCAGCAGCTCAGCATAGGCAGTCAATTATTCTGAGCAGAGCAGTTAGCATCTGGTATGCATCAGGGCATGCACACCGCCACAAATCTTGGTTTTTCAGATAATACAAAGTTAGAAAGTTATGTAAATTTTATATTATTTATAAAGTTTATATTACTATAAATGTTTGTGTTATTCAGTTACAAAGTGCTAACAATTTTGACAGGAGATGCTTAATTTCTTGGTGCCCTCCAGTGGTGAGAACTTGTAACACTGCAGTCAAAAACTCCCAAGAATAAAACATAACCAAAAGTCAACACACAAACAATTACACAGTGATGGAGATGGTTTAAATGTGTATTAAAATAGTTAAAGTGCAAGGTATTTGAGCTATACACAGCAAATACTGCAAAGTGTTTTGGAAGCATGAAGCAGTCAAAGAGTGACCATCAAATGAAAGATCCTCCTCTCCTGCTAGAAATCTGTCCAAGGGACTTCCATCCTACTTCATGGTGCTACTGCTGGTGCAGCAGTGTTCCTCTAAAAGAGGAATGTATGTTTCTGGCATTGTGTAGATGAAACCTGAGCCACCTGAGATTCACAGGAGCTTGGAAATCAGCAGGAAAACCAGGAAGATTCTTCATAATTTTCTCTTCTGTGCTACGATCTCATTTCTCTAGAGAGACTGAAGTTTTTTAAGAATATCCTCCCAGCATTACTGACTGTTAAAGGAACCTCTCTGAAATGGTTTTCCAAGAAAATAAGTGGTATGGCTTATGAATCAACCCACATAAGCTCCCTGAGGACCTTTAACAGAGCCCCTAGTTTCTCTCTAATGGGGCTAAGCTGATGTGAAAGCCCTCCAGACTCTGAGGTTTTCGTCACATGGAAATGAGAGCAGTTGCAAACTTGAAAGCCTTAGAGCACTATCTGCTGTACTACAGATTCAGCTCAAAGTCTTATTTGATGAATATCTTTAAATTTACATCAGCTCCTCTGATACACAAAGGGAAACAAAGCCATAAAGATGCAGAAGGAACTGCCACTGGATATGCTTTCATTAACTGGCCTCCATCTGCCTCATGAGTTTTCTACAGTCTGCTGTTCCTTCCCAAAAAGATATGAGGTCTGTCTCATCCTATCTTTCTGGGCTCAGCTCACCACTCCTCCTGCAAAAGATCTCCTATGACACCTATATGCCTAACTGGGCATATGTGCCAACTAACATATGCTCGGGCTTCCCAAATCCATCAAATACCACACAGCATTTGCATCAATCCCGGAGCAAAAAGAAGCTGTCCACACACTGCCAGCATGCTTGCAAACATGCTGTCAGGGCTGGTGCTTTCCAGTGTGCCTTGTGTACAGACCACCTCGCTGCATCCTGCAGCACAGCTCCAACACTCCTCACATAACCTCACACCACCTCTCCTACCCTTGTGCAACAGCGTCTGAAATAAGGGATGACTGGGGGTTTCTCCTGACACGAGAGTATAAGGTGACATTGGGATCTTTCCTAGATATCCCCTACACACTACCTACCATGAGGCAACAAGAGACTTGTCAGCAGACTGCATCAAGTCCAAAGAAAGGCTGTGAGCAAAACCAGGACAAAGACCAGCTGCTGGCTCAGGAGCAGCTGGAATTCAGAACCCTCGCAACACTGCTCCAACAGATGCATTAGAAATGCAAATCATGTCCCACTTTTGGAATGCTGAGTTTCTGCTGCACATTTAGACTAAGCTCTGCAGGGCAAGAAACTATCTCCTGATTTCACACACATGCTACTGTGAATAGTATTAATACCCACATGCAATGAAGTTAGGCAAAATTATTATTCAGCAGCTTCACAAAGAACCCCGAAAGGTAGTTTCTGTTACCTGCTTAGACACAAAGCATGTCTGTATGCCCCAGACTTAAATCCAATTAAGCCCCGAACATATTTGGATATGATATACATTCTCTTTCTGCTTTTTAGTTTTTATTAAAGTGACCAGTGCTGCTGCTGCTGCTGGTGTATGCTACACCTGAGAGTGTAGGGCCTCTTTCCTTCATGTTCTGCTGGTGAGCAAAAAGCTACAAGCAAAGTGTTCAGAACACTTTTAGTAAAGGAAGTGTGGTGTCTGACCTATTCAAGACAAGTTTTAAGAGCCTCTTTCATTTTTCTTTTGATTAAACTGAAGAAAATGCTCCCAGGAAGTGCTGATTTATATTGAAAAATAACAACATTTGCTTTTTCTGCCATCCTGCGCTCATCCCATCACATACCTGATGAGCTGGACTGTTATGCCAAGAACTATTTGTAACTGCATAATATGACCAGTGATAATGGAGTTCCTCTCCAAAATGTCAAATACAGTGATTTCTGAAGTAACAAGTACTGGGGCTTTAAAAAACTAGAGCATATTTTTCTTTTTTTTTAGCAGGGAACACACAGTTTGGTGTTCAAGTTACCCTTGAAACAAAATTCACCGTTAAAAAAGTGGTTTCAAAATATACATACAATACTTGTGGATCAGTCCATTTAGATAGACAGAGCTCTTCTATTAATTCGTCTTCATCTAAGATCTCCAGAATTGTTTCTTTGAAAACCTTAAGATCTGTTTCCAGTTCTGACAAGCTGAAGAAAGAACAGGCAAAAGGTCAACTAATCCCCACCAGCATCAGTGCACAAAGGTAATCTCTAAGTGAGTTTGCCAGCCAGCACCCTCACCAGTTGGAGTGGCCAGGGAAGACTTTCCTGCAGGGTTCTAAAAGCTCCTTCAAAATATTCTCTACAGGCCATACACTTAGCAGTGGAAGTGATCTGTCTGGGGATCAGTGAGGTGCAGACACACACTAGAAGGGATCCAGATGTGTTTTCTGGGTATATTGTAAGTCAGAAAAAACAATCACTCTGTGAGCATGTAGCAAGTGCACAGTTGCACTGTCATTTTAGAGAGGCTAACACATGAAGGACCAGTGTACCAGTAACCTTAAAGCATAATATACATACAACACTTAAAGCATAGTTCCAAAGGTTTACATTATGGGGAATGGTTTCAGGTTATTTTGTTCTCTTAGGTATTACTTTGTTCTGTCAGATGATATTGGAGAAGCACAGTTGTACTTCTGACAACTCGGAATATATTTCCCTTTTCCCTCATATCAACAGGTATTTCATATACAAATTTTTACACTTACAAACAAGATGCACAACCCAGCATTACAGTAACCTCGGAAATTAATATTAGATACTGTTTTTCTAACATTTCAATGCACGTCATTTTCTACTGTCATCTTCTAGACTCTTCACAGCTTATTCTTATTTACCTCTTGCCATTCTGCAGGAGAATGTGTAGTTTACTCCTATCCACAGATAAAAGCTTGGGGTCCACTAGAGCTTCCAGTGTCTCAAGGATCTGAGGCTGCAAAGTGTTAAGTCTCCCCTGCAGTTTGCTGATCTAGATAACAACATGATCCTTCATAAGAATTAAAACGATTCATTTAGAATGACTTGGGCAACTGACTCTTGTCTCTCAACACAGAATTTACAGTAACGAGTAGTTAATACAACCTGCTTTCCAATGCCTGGAAAATACTTGCTATATAGATACCACTTTATAAGACAAAGCCACTGCAAAATACAGTATTTAATAAAAAGTGAACTGAAGTCCAGTTGACAACCACACTAATAAGACTGATAAAGCTAATACACTATTGCCTAGAAATGTTACATTAGCATTAGCAAGCACAGATTTTTCATGACAGCTAGGAATCATCATCTGACTCGTGCTCAAGAGGCCAAAAACCTCAGCACTTTTATGTGACTTCCATTTCAGCTACAGCACATCTCTAGAATGGAACTCTGACTTATTTTTTAACTGTCCAAATCATGGTGAAGCCGTCACATCCAATTAGCACTTTATTGTGAAGGGAATGAAAACACACGTACACACAAAACCGTAAGAACTAAAGCAACAAAAGTCAAAACCAAAAAAGAGCTCATACACGAAGTGCAGAACACATACGCAAATGTGTATGTGTAAATATTAACACAAGAATAAAATCATACTGTCCCTTCCATGAAAAAATAACTTCCCAAACAATTTAAGTAAAAATCAGATAGCTCACCCAGTACTGCAGGATTGCTTCTATGGCTCGGAATTCAAAGGGCAGAGAATATGTAACCAGCTGACCTTCCCCAGCCAGCTGAGATGCTAGCTGACTGAGGAGCCAGTGTTCCAGACTCAAATTACGATAATCCAGTATCAGCAGAAACTCTGGTGTTATCACAGCCTTCAGGAACTGAAAAAGAAAGTACATGCAAGGAATCTGAAAAAATCTCTCTGAAGGTTTGTCATAACTCTGTAGCACATTTGATATTTGGGCTGTGATAAAACAATTCTTCTAATGTCTTTTCAGGCACAAAAATAACTCAATCTCATGCTAATAGCAAATGGGCTCAGACAGAGCACTGTGCCAGGGATTAAGAAGGGCTCCTCACAAGCTTTTATTTCTGTGACAATGTTAGTGATGACTCTCCTGTGCTCAACCAGGAAAATGGTCATTAATATGTACTGTTGGTAAACTTGTACTTGCGTGCTACACAGAGCTCCAAAGACACATTTACTGCTGGACTGTACGTCACAGAAAGCTGGTGTTAAAAGAACTGTGCAAGAAAATGAAAATGCAAGACAGGGTTTACACTCATTTAGAGGGAAATGATTACCTCCATTCTCATGATGATTTTGTTGTTCCTAGTTGCAATGCTCATTACGTGTTGAAATCTTAAATCTCGTGCTTGAAGACCCAATTCCTGGTACAATTCTGTTTTCTTCTTTTCTATCATAAAAGTATTTTTAGAAGAAGACATTTAGAGGACAAGCAGATATGCTCTGAAATTATATTTTAGTGTGTTACTAAGTCCCACCAAAAAAAAAAAAAAAAAAGCAAAGCTGTGCTATCTCTAAAACATTCCTCCCATTGACTCCTCAATGTAAGTATTTTCTACAAAGTTTAGAAGACTGTATCTTGAGTAGAAAAATTCTAGATATAAGTGAAAAAGTTGGCTGCAACAATTAATTTCATGTCAGAAATTAGTGACTCATTTGAGAAAGCACTTGTAATCCTACAGGAAGGGAAAGACAAGACTGAGAAAGCAGCATGCTGGTCAAAAAGGAAAAGACAAAGCAAAAATTACCTTCCTGTGAGAGACAGTAATATGTTATTTTTAAAATATTATTTAAAGGTACACAAAAATTTTAACAGTAAAGATGCTATGAAGACCTAATACGAGGCAGCAAACAGAGGAAATGTTGTGACATCCTGAATGAACACAGCGAAGTATCCAAAACATAATTTTTTACTCCATGTAGATTCCCAATTAGGCTTTTCTGTATTGGACAAAGAAAAAAGGCAAACAAAACTACAATGAAAACTTACCAAAATAGGTAGTATTTCCCTCTTTGTCAAACTTCATCTGGAGGAATAGAAAAATTATTATTTTTTTCACAGAACCACTATAAAACAAGAAATCAATTTCTAAAGTTATTTGCACTTCCATAGAAGCCCAATGGATAATACATTATGAAGAGAAAGCAACTTTTTATGCCCTCTATTCACAGTTCATCCCAATTACACAAAGTATTACACCAAATGGCCATATATTTCACTGTGTTTGTCACCAACTACCTGACCACTTCAGGGCTGACCAAAACTAAAAGCATGGTGTAGAGGGGCAAATAGCTTTCAGTCTCGTTTAAAAAGGAGCATAGAGAGAGCTTGTTCTTCACCAAATCCTACGTTTGCTTAGAATTGCAGCTATCAAGACACAGGCCTAATATTTCTAAAAGGCATTAGGAAGCCTTGACAATCCTAACAAGACACCTTCTGACTGCAGCAGTTCCAAGAGCTGACCTGCCTTCACGATTAAGAACCTGATGCTGGACCTTAGAAAAGCATCTTGGTTGATGCTGTGTACCATAACCGATCGTCATGTCAGAGTACCTCAAAGCAGCAATTTAGAAGTCGGGGTGTTCTCCAAGACACAACTTCATCTGCTTTTATGATGCTTTAAGAGTTTAAAAAAAAAAAAAAAAAAAAAAAGGCAGAAAAAATGAAGAAAGGGAAAGATCCCCATCATCTTGCAATCTTGCATAAAGCGCCCTCGCAGGTGGAAATGCCTGCAGGAAGTACTTACCACTGCAAAAACAGGAGACACGCTGGCTAGGGTGGCCTGGGAGGTCTCTGTGGGGGCATGTCGGCACAGTTCACCTGGGGGAAGACAAGACAAGCTGTACGCCCAGCACGCCGCACTTGCCCTCTGGCGGCGCGGAGCCCTGCCCGCAGCCGCCGGCACCGCGCACGGCCACAGGACTCCAGCAGCGCCGCTCATCACAAGGCCCCGACGAACCCGACGCCCCAACGCGAGGGGCGAGGGCACGGCCCGGCCCCGCACCCAGCGCGGCCACTGCCGCTCTGCCGCCCCACAGCCCGACCCGACCCCGTGCCCGCTCACCGGCCCAGCGCAGCCCGCGGGCGCCCGGCGGCACCGCCGCCACCGCCGCGGGCCGCTCCCTCTGCCAGGCGCGGCCCGGCGGCAGCCCCGGGGCGGCCCGCGGGCGGGACCCGCCGCCCGCCGCGCCCGCCCAGACCCGAGGAGCGCAGCAGCAGCCGCCGCCACCGCCGCCCAGGGCGCGGGGCAGCAGCGAGACCCCCCGCAGCATCGGCCCCGCTCCCTCCGCTCCGCTCCCAGCGCGCAGCCGCGGCGAGGGCGGAGCACCGAGGGTGACGGGTCAGCCCTGCGCGGCCGGGGAGGAGCGGGGCCGGGAGAGGCTGCCCCAGAGGGGCCGGCCCCAGGCTCGCCGGCTGCGGGCGGAGAGCGCCGAGTCCCGCCGACCCGCTGCTGTGTTTAGCTGAAGTATCCTGTTCCATCAGTGTCCTGTTCACAGCCGTTGCTTAATATATGCACAAAGCCATGATCTGTGAAATCTGTGAAACCACCCCCCCACTCAGCCTTGTGCTCGACCCCACTGAGTTTAACTGGATTTTGTGCATGGTGATATGTGAAAAAGGGGCGGGGGGACAGCCCAAGAGCCCCGCGAAGCACGCCTGAGCTCCTCTAACGAGGTAGGTCCGAACTGAAAACTCAGTTAAGTGGATAACTTCTTTCAAGGACATGAGCGTTCTTCAAATCCCACCTCCAGAAGCCCTCGGTAACGTGAGCGCACCTTGCTGTCGCCGGGATTTTCCCTGCCGCATTCGGCCACTTCCTGAAGATTTTACTTGTAAAATGCGCTGGTTTTGTGTTTGTTTTTCTTTTTTCTTTTTTTTTCCAAATGCAGAGCAATTCTGTCCCCAGCAAAGGTCTTGCAATTAAATTCCCTTGCCCTGCTTCTGTATCCAAAGTAGAGACAAGCTGGTTGGTTGAGATCTAAAAGTTTAATTAGTAGCGTACTAATAGCTTCCGCTGTTATATATTCCTTTTAAACTGCAGCAAAAGGGTAATGCAGGTAGCAGGAGTATCCTTTCTTTGGCTGGTTCTGCTGAACCGTGTAAATTGACATGGAGGCAAAGCCTGTGTCCAAAGCCCTGCAGCGGGACACGTTATCAGACTGTACTTACAGCACTCATTAATCCTTAGCAGGGAAATAAAAAAGGAAGTGATTATGCCGTTAATGAAATGATCCGTACAATGTGGCTGCTCCAAGAGGAGGGCACATGCCTAAATACTGCCCGGAACACAGGTCAGAGTTTTGAAGACAAGGGGGTCAGGGCCAAATAGTATTCTCAGCTGGGCTGTAAGTTAAAGGTAAGTCACTCGAGGGCCAGCACTGTCCTCTCCGTTCCTGCACCACATCACCTGTTCATTTGTCTTACTGTTTGTACATACGTACCTTAACATACATAGACGAGCCTTTGTCCAAAGTGGACGGATATGTACAGAATCAGAAGGGTGGTTTATGCACACCTTGCACAAAGATGAATGACCTCACATGGAAGTAATTATATAAAAAAGTTCCTCAGTAGTTATACATACGATATATATCTAGACTGAAGCCACCAGAGGTTTTCAGTTTCAGGGTAACCATGCCTGTCTGCAAATGTTGGCTGAAAAGGCTGAAATCCACTTGGACAGAGTATTCTAGCTCTATTTTGGTTAATCTCAGCAGGTGGCAGTATGTGCAACACTAATTTAAGACTCTCGGATGTCAGAGATACTTAAAATTTGGAAATACCAGACAGCACAGAAAATACCTCAGGAGGGCAGGAAACCAATGCACACCAGTGCTGGCAACATAGGAATGGCAGCCTATGTTGGTTCTTCATGTTGGAATGCAAAAGCTAGGGAAGCATCTGAGGGATATCTGCCCGAAATGTACATTTAATGAATGTGCAGGAAGCCTCACACAGCTGACATTTCATATCCCTCAATACAAAAAGGAGAAGCTACTGGGTTGATCTGTTTGTTTTCCTTTGCTCACCGGTTGTTCTGGCTACTAAGTGTTGGAAATAAGATGATGTAACTTCACACCGAATATATATTGATACAAACTCTGGTATGTACGATACAATAGGCTAGTGTACCAGGAAGCACTGGTATTGTATGTCATTATAGCTCCATTATCAGTCACCATTGCAACTGTCTGGAAGGGCAGACAATAACCAAGTATCACCTCTGTCTTTAGAGGTGAAGGCAGCATGGTGCGAACTGGCACAGTTATGAAGCACAGACAGAATGTCTGATTTCATAATACTGTCGATAAAAGATAACTGGAGATCTAGAACTGCCATCTATTTGTTGCAGTTCTAAATACCAACAAGCAGCTTGCTGCTTCTGCTGTAGGCATGTGTCAGGTATCCAGTGTGTCCTGCAGTGCCAACCTTTGGGAGTGGTTTGCTGTATTTAAAAAAAAAAAACAAAACAAAACCAAAACAAAACACAAAACCAAAATAAAACACAAAACCAAAACAAAACAACTGGGTCAGGCTCATGTGCTGTTTGTTGGAGAAGCTCCCTGACACAAACTGGCATGATGGCTGTTCTTTATTTAGCTAAATGCAAGTACAGCTCCAGCACAGACTGGCTTAGTCATGGAACTGCCATCTAAACCACATCCCCCAACATGTGCTTGTTATGTGACCTCAGGGGATCCTGGCACACGACCTGACAGAGGTGGTGTCATGCACCAACCTCATGTAAGATGAGAGGTCTGACATCACTCCATCATAAAGAGATAATGTATCTCTGCATTTATCTTAATCGTGTCAGTGGCTTGAGCAGCTTGCCTCCTTACTGTTGAGAATGTGAAAGGAGATTGCTTAGAAACTGAAACAAAATAGCAGGAATAAAAGGCCAGACCCTGGAAAGGCTAGGACAAGCAGGTTGTTATGAATCAAGGCACTGCTATCATGAGCTGAAGTATCTAACCTTTTCTTAGCTTTGGGGCAGTGGGTGTATTTAGACGAGGTGGAAAGCGTGCTGACTTTGTACTGTATTGGAAACACTGTTTTGATTTGGTTTGCTCCTATTACTGAAGAAAATATGTTTCATTCTAAAAAGACTGGTGTGAAATAGTGGGCACTGTCGCTTTTTAGGGGCTGGATTTGAAGGTGTTGCCTTAAGGGTAAGAAAATGATGAGATTCCGCTGCAGCACAAGTAAAGGGGTAGAGGGCAGAAATGCAAGCAGCTGGATTTGAAAGATGAGATCTTTAGGGACACAGCTATTAACTATGTAAAGGTTAAACTATGGGCAAAATTCTGCATTGCAGTTTTTCAAGGGATTCATAATATCCCCCCAGTTTTAGACAAAGATTTTGTCCACCACTTAAAGGCTTTTTTAAGGTTAGCAGTGCTCTGGTACCATTTCAGGGATATTTTATTGCAATCCATAAAGTGACTGTAACTAACGTGGCAATAGGTAAAAACCAACAGTATTTTGGAGTAGCACAAGTGTGAGTGCACAAGGAAAATATTCAGTGTCTTACACCTATATCAAAAATGTTAAGTGATTGCAAATTAGGCCTAAGATCATCAAATGCGGCAGAATCTGACACAAAATAGCAGATAGTTGACGTATCACTGCTTCAATGCAGACTGGTGTGAAGGTCATGAGCATTTTTGGTTTTTACACAGCAGCATATATTTGTTTAATAAGAAAAAATTAATTTCACGTAGCAATAGATCAATGTTAAACAGCATTAATTCGAGGATAGTAAATGTTTGGTTCTCCCCTTTATTAGTTAGAAGGAAACCAGCAGCAAGCAGAGAAATTTAGCTGTTAACCAATAACAGTAGCATGTTTGACTTCCCTCACCCTGAAATTGCTCTTTTTGTAATGGTTAACTGCTCTGTTGTAACTCACAGCAGGGGGGCAATTTTCCCATCAAAGGAGGTAAGATAAAAGGATAGAAAATTCCTTCCATCACACGTGTTAGAGCCCATTTGGAAGAACAATCATTACAGTACACTAAACAATTCCAGGTAGGAAGGTCTAGTCCAGTTTTAGAACTTGAGACTGTCATCGGAGGAAAGAGGTTGTTAAAAGAATTATGTTTGAATGTAAGGCGTTTTCCTCTTTTAAAAAGTTTCTCTCAGGTTTTACGGCTTCTTGCACCCACGGTGCGCCAAAATCCAGTGGGGGCGATGGGCCGGCTCGGCGTTTCCCCGCTCAGGGCGGCTCGGCCGCCGGCCCTTCCCTTGAGGAGGACGGGCGGCGGTCCAGGAGAAGGAGGCAGAGCCCGTACTTCCCTCCTTCCCTCGATCCCGTGGTCCCGTTCCCTCTGCCCTCGTCGCCCCGCGCCCCTCTGCCTGTCTCTGGGCACGCCGCCCCCTCGCCCTTCTTTCCCCGGTAGCTCCGGGCCGGGCTCTCGCCTGGCTGGCCACACGCGGGATAAAGTTTCCCGAGGAAACCAGAGCGGTGGCACTTTCCGTGACGGCATCACCGGAGGATAAAGACCCTGGGAGGCCGCGGGTCCCCCGCAGTCCATGTACCTGCTGCGCCGGGTCGGTTTCCACGCCGTGTTTTTCCGCCTGGATTGGGCGTTCTCCGCGTTCACCTCCTCGGGCGCCCCGAGCGCTGGTTGCCTGGGAGGAGCCGCCCTTGACAGGCTGAGCAGAGCTGTGCCCAGGCCCCGGGGGTGCTGTGATCCCTCCTCCGCTTCCCGGGAGGTGTGCCCATGTGCCCGGGCCCCGGCAGGGAGTTGTCAGGGCGAGAGGGGCGCCCGGGCAGGAACCCTCACCCGAGCAAACAGGTGCGGGCAGCTCGTCCGTGTGGCTTGGGCTGCGCAGGAGGTCTGAAGCCACCGAGCATGACTAGTCCTGGCACAAAGGGCTCCTGGCTCTCGCAGCCGACGGTGAAGAGCGTGCTGGTGTATCGCAACGGGGACCCTTTCTTCCCGGGGCGCCGCATTGTCATCAACGAGAAGAAAGTGTCCAACTTTGATGTGTTCCTGAAGGAGGTGACAGGCGGTGTGAAGGCGCCCTTTGGAGCTGTGCGGAACATCTATACCCCCCGGGGTGGGCATCGTGTCCGTCAGCTGGAGGAGCTCCAGAGTGGAGAGCAGTATGTGGCTGGTGGCAGGGAAGCCTTCAAGAAACTCAAGTGAGTGGCTAAAAAGTAACGTAACATTTATATGGAACTTGAATATCAGCATTTGGGGTTTGGCACTGTGACAGTACTTCAGAGGATCCCCCATCACATCCCTTTTATTAGGCATTGCGGA